GTGTAAGGGTTGTTATTTTATTGGATTCCAATTTAATCTTCATCCTTTTATACTGAACGCCGTTTTCGATCCTCGATAATAATTTTATGTACAATTTTAATCAATCCGATGGATATTAAAAGCATTTCATAATAATTTAGAAGATTGGCGTTGAATTAGGATTTTATGTGACAGTTGATTTATTTTTTATTTCAGGTCAACACTAGAACTGATATACGCTAAGATAAAAGACATGAAACACACAGTTTTAATAAAAAAAACGTTTAACGGTTTAGAACGCGTAATTCATTAGAAAAATAATTTTATTTAAATTTAACTGCGCCCCAACGCACGGCCACGGCACAAATATTTCATGTTTTAAACTGTTAACATAAATGTGTAGTAATAAACGAGTAGTAACTCGCATCAAAAACGGATAATAATTACAATTTTCTAATCTTCGCATCATTTATGTATAATCATCATTTACAATTTTATTAAAAGTAAGTGGGTTCGAATACCGACAGTTAAATAAATAATCCTGGCAGTACTCAAAACCACGACCAACGGTTAGCAGACACGCCGCCGTAGTTTGTACACTATCGTGGGTTCATTATAAGATACTAATAAATAAAACACTATCAACGGTTTAAAACAAATAATACATTAGTTACCTGATGTTTTGCTGCAGAAAAAATCTAAAACGTCGGATAAAGTGGCCGTGTTTTAAACTGTTCAATGTTTACTATTCACGTAAACTACACACAATGTAAAATACTCATTCAGTCTTTTTAACAACCATAGATTTACAGTTACGTCTAATATAACGAAAAGATAGAGACCGTATTTCATAAGTAGGTTCGTTCGAACTTGTTTGGAGAGGTTTCGCTGAAGTGTCGTATGAAGTAACCGGCGAAGGGCGAATTCGGGTCATCGAGTGTGCAAAGTTTACGTCGTATGCGTATAGAATCTCAGAACCGTACCGTAAGTCTCGAAACTGTACCGAACCCGACGTCTTTATCTCGAGCACCTTCGGCTATTAATAAATTCTGCGTAAGGGATTGCCTCTGGTGTAAATTGAATAACGATAGTTTCCTAGATTATACTGTGGCCTTTTGACTTGTTACAGATTACGGTAACATTTTAGATAGTAAGTTCTATACATAGCTGTGGCCGCGACTTCGTCCGTAAGTATACTTACTTTGAGCATCAAAATTCATCCATATAAATGTCAGCTGTTACCCATGACGTCGTCCGTGTCCTGTCGTTATCCGTGAAAGATAAATATATACTGTCGCAAACATTTTTTTAGATCTCTTAAAGAGACATGATTTTAGGTATCTTGAACCATGTTCACAGCGCACGCAACCAAAACCCACAAAGATGAATAGTTTCCCCTTTTTTCCCCATTTCCAGCTGTTTCGAACTAACACTTTTTTTTTATTCGAACCACTAGTTCCAAAGATTAGCGCGTTCAAACAAACAAACTCTTTAGCTTTGTATGTATATTAGTATACATAGAAAGGAGATCATTTATACCTTGTTAAAAAAATGGCCCATGTTCAATTTGCCAATTATTCGCTTTATCACAAAGTATTTGGTAAAATATCATTCCATAAATTACAGGAGAAGAAAATAATTTTTAATATAGTAATTATGTTTCTTAATATATATTTTTTATAAAAGAAGGGGTTAGACAAGCTCGGGGTTCACTTGGGAGGTAAAATACCACAACAATGTAATAAACTGAAAAAGATGCACTGTCGCCCTATATTTCGTATATTTGAATCCACACGGAAACCGAAATGTTATTAAACTTCACGGCTTTTTCATGTGTGGACGGTGGTTCGTGACCCGAATGGAAATCGCATATTCCTACCATCTATTTAATCTCGAGATTTTCCGACGAAACCTAACATTTTTCAGGAGAAATATTTAAATTGATAAGAAACATTTTGGTGTGAAATACTGTCTGTACTTTACGCGAGTAGTAGGTACCCATTTTAGAATGAAACATTTTGACAGCATGCAAAGCATTCAAAACGTCGTCGTCGGCCGTAGTTAAAATAATTTTCAAATAAGTTTCTTTATTATATTTGACAATTTAAAAGTGTTTGTATAATTTAAACATGTTGACGCTTACTTATGTTAATTATTGTCCTCTCAAAATGTTGTAAACACTTATTAGCTATTAAATTACGTAATACTAAGACTTTTTGTTTAGCTTTAAGTATATATAGATTATATTATACTTATGAAATACATATAAGTATTAAGTAAGGACAGGTTACAGTCTTTCTTTACAGAGTACCGTGCTCATAAATACATCTCGGTGAAAACAATTTATTTCCCAATATCAATCTTATACATACTGATAGGGTGGCATAATTCAATTTGGTTACTTTTTCTCTGAAAATCCGTACAAGAAAATCGAAAATCTGCGCTACCGTGGTTTATTGGCAAAACGGTATAGCTACACACGAGAGGTTTAGGGTTCAATTATAAACTGGACACATTAATTTATAATACATAATATAATATAAAGTGAGACCAAGGGTTTAATATTAAAAATTTGTGAAATAAAAGAAAAGTTACTTGGGTAAAATAAATATACAAAACCAAAAAGGTTCGACAGCTTATTTAGATGTTATATGGCTTGTGTTTCTTTCTATCAAGTTAACCATGTGCTTGCCATCTATCACAAAAAATAGATTAATTTAATAGTTATTGCATTAATTATTAAAGAAATAAATTTATTTATTTTTTTACCTAATATTATTTTTGATATTAATCATTTCAAAATAAATGTTTATTTTCTACCTAAAAGAAATTATATAAACAGTCGTATTGGACTACTCCTTTATTTGATGTTGGTAAAGAAATCTTCATTTAAGTATCTGTGGCTTACGCGAGTAGTACCTACACACTTAAATGGCACACTTTTATCGGTTCAAAACGTGACATGTTCGGATGTTTTACAGCAGCCGTGACTTTTAAATACAACTAATACATTTCACATTTTAAACCGAAATAAATATTTTATTTAAGCATTAAATTTAAGAATTAATAAAATTAGACTTATCTACGAGACGTGTAACCGTGAAGCAGAAGTCACAATTGCTCAATCTCCAGATAAATCGTTGTTACGTCATTGAGCTAAGCTAATAAAATCTTAACAGAGGAGTTCCACCACAAATAGCTTCGGGTTGACTTATACTGTGGGACAGATGCACTAACGTACACTGTGCAATTAGGAGGTGCTTCATTTTGGTTAAATTAGCGAATTTCATATACTGCCATATTAAGAGAAGTAAAGATATTAAACGTTTATTTAAGTATAGTTTAGTTTTTCCATAGTTTATTAAATATTTCGAATTCATTTATATATTTATAATCTTTATGAAACACGTTGGAAGTGAAGTAGATAAATAGAGAGAGTAGGACACATTTAAATAAAACACTTTACGGCTTAAACGCTTTGGTGTTATAATAATAAGATAAAAACCGTTTTAGTTTAATATATTAGCAGATCCAAAAATCGAAAATAAATTGAAAAAATTTTTCGACTCGGGCAGGACTTGAACCGGCATCGTCAGCTTTCCGTGCTGTTGCTCTACCAATTGAGCTACCGAGTCCTACTCGAGTAGGACTCGGTATTTTCGATTTTTAAATTATATAGTGCCTTCATGTGCAATAACATGTGAAAAATATTAATGTTTTCAAATATTAGCATCTCATTAATATAGTATAATTTTTATTTGGCCTTTCATTTAAACTGTTAAATTAAAAATTTAATTTTAATTTGTTGTGATGATGATATATTTATATTTTTTTATAATTTTCAGTGCTGCATCGCTAGTTAATTTAAATTGTCAATTGGTTAAAGCAGCATCACGGAACGCTGTAGATAAAACGCCTTTTCAAACTTTACACTGTTTTATTGAAATTTAATAATGATCAGTGAAATGGGTATAGAAGTATATCTGCCCCATTCATTCAAATGGGACTTCTTCACTTCGTTCAATGTTAAAACGATTTTTGTGTTCAAACATATTATAAATATAATTCTTACAAATAAAGATATTGTATAGCTAACGTTAGGTACGGCTAATTAATTAATCAGCAAGGTCACCTCGAGGTTCTGTCCTTCATAATGTTTAACAAGCCTAGTGAACCTTGGGTTTTCGAGTTTTATATCAAATAGAACTAATTATAACTTAAGTAAGACCGATTACAGTGTCGGGCCTTAGTTTTTAGATTATTAATCTTTAGATGTTTGGCCTGAAAAAAATAAAAGTTGTACAAACTGTTGTTTGTTGAGTAATTTTAAATGACACTATGTCACAATTTGTATTGACAGTGGGTTGTGTGAAGATTATGCTTTTATTTTTAAATTGAGAAAAAATACGGAAAGCATCGCAATATATTAGAAAAGATATTAAAACTCTAACTCTATGGTATTCATTTGTTGTGGTTAAGATACTTTCATTTAACCAAGACTTTATCAACCTGTATTTTTTTTTACAACGTTAAACTTAAAGATCTATGAGCGCCCGATTTACTTTAAATATGAAATAATTTATTCCACAACAAAGTTCACTTACAAAATCATTCATTTATTAATTAATATGATTTATATATATAATGAGTTACAATTAAAAACTCAATAAGTAATATTTGTTGTAAGGATCTCAAGCTTTTGTGTAAAAAAGGTTTGCAGCGACAATTATCAGTGATTCGTAATTTTTAGTTTGATTATGGCTCGTGCTACAATTTTTTTATCTTTATTTATATAATGACACTATGTCTCGAAGTGAATGACAAAATCATAAGATAACTAGTGCAAGTCTCGTCTACCAATGTCCTAACATCGTGGCACAAATCTCATCCATAAGCATCTGTTTCAAGTCATACCTCTCTTGTTACAGATATGGACAGTACCAAAGCGCCGAAGGATCGCAGTGGATAACATAGTGATCGGTGTACATATATGAATAAGTGGTAGATAGTAAATGAACGAAATGCAAGGGGCGTGGCTTATTCAGCAGACTATATTGACTTTGCTTTTGACTGCTGTGCCGTCATCTCCGTCTGCTACACAAAATACAGTCATATCTGGTAAGTCTAGTTATTTTTACTAACTCAATAATAATAACTAGAATAACATAAATTGAAAAACGACTTTAAATGTTCACGAAATCGGAAGGTTTTGAACTGGCAACCCAGCGTTCCGTGCTGTTGCTCTAACGAATTGAGCTACCGTGTCACAGAATAACATAGTTAAGATTAACTGTCTTTAGCAGAAGAGCTTCCCAAATCCTTCGAAGCAATTACGTCAAACTTTTACAGCGTAAGGACAAAATATCAAAGCGATTTTGTCCAATATAATATCCCGCAATATGTATGCCCTGAATTATAAGTACTGAATATTTTACTCAGCCCGTGGTCAAGCACGAAAGTTTTATTAATGCGCTTGTCACTTGTTTCATACTTTTCTTATTTTATTAGGGGAAAATGCGAGAAGCGAGCCGAATACAACTTTATTACCATGTAGCGAGATCCATTTTAGTACATCTATATACTATTTCTAGCTTGAAAAAGGCGGTCAGTGTTTTAGGGTCATTTTATGAAGCATTCATAAGATTCTTTGTAAATATAAGCGGAGATATGAACGTCAAAGAAGTCTTAATATTAGCTGATATGAGTCTAAATGAATGCTGTGAAAATACTATTCCAATGTAAGAAAATGTTTAGCAGATACATAAAAGTAATATTTTTTCTAGGATTTTACATTATAGGGTTTGTTCGTTTGTACCTTTATTAAACAAATATTATAACCTTATATTGTATATTCCGCGTCTGTAGCCAAATGGTGAAACGTATTGCCTAGCATTGCGTCAAGGTCCTGGGTTCAAATCCCAGGGAAGCAAAAAATTATTTCGATCAGGTAAGGCACAGAGTCTGATCAACTACTTGCCTGTTGAGGAACGAGGGGGAAACGGGATTTCACACATTTTAATAAACACGATATATTATTAAACTTATTTGAACTACAACTCGACATTTCGTAACAGCAACCCTTGACCACAGTTAATAAGTTAACTTATTAATGTCACGTTTTAAACCGTTTCAAATGTTTTGTTTACACGTGATAGAACCGTTCAATCCCTGTTCACCGTTACGCCAAGTTAATTTCAGTCTATAAGCCCTTTAGAGTCCGCTCTATCCCGTGAAGACTTACGGAAAATATGACCCTTCCATATAGGATATTTCACCTCGCGGCATTTCTTTTATTCATGGTAAATTCTTTTTCTGACCAAAATTGGATTATTTTCCGCGGCATGGTTAAATACTGAATGGGCTATCGACATTTTCTGCCGCCTCCGGTTGCCTTTATTAATGCCCGCAATATTTTTCGGTCTCTCTGTACTGAAAATACAATATTATTTATATTGGTTCCGAAGGTCTTTTTACCGCTATATTGACCATGGCAAGTATTGAATTTCAGAGGTTATGGGATTCTAGAGTCGAAGGCTAAGAAGGAAATTACTAAAACTATATACGAGTAAAGTATTGTCCGTTGTTTACGCGAGTCACATTTAAATATACATGTTAATAGCGAAATGTATTAGTTAACTTTTAACAAATTATTTTAACTAAGGTCCGGCGTTTCGGTTGCTTTTAACCGCGGTTTCTAAAGGCAAAATATAGTCGACAGCGCATCGTATTTCACCTTCCCTCAAAAGAGCCTTATGCCTGCCTTATTATCTATACTAATATTATAAATGCAAAAGTAACTCTGTCTGTCTGTCCCGGCTTTAACGCCGAAACTACTAAACCGAGTGAAATGAAATTTGGTACACAGATATTCTAGAGCCCGAGAAAGGACATAGGCTACTTTTTATTGCCAAGAAGGGTTGTTAAGAGTTGAAAAGGGGGATGAAAGTTCGTATGGAAAAAAATATGAAAATTCGTAATTTTTTTAAGCTAGAACAATGAAACTTTCTACTTTAGTTTTTTGGGGATGGAAGTGAGAGTGGGAGTGAGTGTAAAGTGAAAGTGGGAGTTAGAGTAGGAGTAATTGTGAGGGGAGAGTAGGAGTGTTGCGGCAAAGGTAGTAAGGGGTTGAATGAGGGATGAAACGTTGTTTGGATGTATCGTAATTAAGTTTTATACAACTTACTAATATTATAAATGCTAAAATAACTCTGAAACACTGTGACACTCTATTTACACATGTGTCATATTCCATTTATAAAATAAATAAATAAATAAACCAACTTAACTCAAATCTCTTAAATAAATAATTCTACCGAAAGTCACCATTGCACGCGAAAGAAGTCGCGGGCACATCTAGTAAAAATCATAGATTTGTCTGATGATAGTGAACGTTGAAATGAAGTATAAGGTTTAAAGAATGTATTTTCTCTAAGAATATACATTATACAATTTAATGAGAAAACAATAATACGTAAATGTGTTTACATGCATCGGTACTTTAATTAAATGAAACAGGACATATAATTTAAAAACATGCTAATCATTAACTTATTCTTATTCTAAAATATGGAACTTTAATGATTTCTTGAAGATGTTTATAGACTGGGCGTTTTTATACTTCCAGGTAACTGATTGTACAGATCAGCACCCTTAAATCTTATACTATTTTTACCGTAATTAGTTCGAGGTTGGGGTAGTGACAAGTCGTTTTTATTTCTAGTTTGGTATCTGTGATTTTTCTTAGTAAAAGTTGTTAATTATTAAGTAAAATCATTAAATATTTCCCTATTCCCAATTTGCTTTCCCTATTTGGCACTGGTGAGAACAATGCTGTATCTGTTAGACTTATATAGCTACATCATCGAGGCGTAGAGGTTAAATGAATACATTTGTAATAATAATATATAAATAAAATTAAATACTAAAATCATTAACGAAAACGATTATATATATATTTGCTAAAAAGAACAATGAATGCCCTTGACAGCTGTCAGGTCCAAATCTCCATAGATCTAATTCGGTATAACAAAGTTACGTTGGACAATTTAAGTATTGTCTGTACTTTACTCGACTACAGACAATACTTAAATTGTTTAATTTAAGATTACAAGCTCAAAACATAATGGCTAAATTATGATGTTTGGCATGATCTGATGTTTCGGATGCTTTGCAGCACCAATGGTCCACCATTGGTGCTGCAAAGCATCCGAAACATGATGATGTGATGGCAGAAAAATGCCTAATTTCAAAATCAAATCTGCTTGTGCCAGCTATTGCTTTTAACTGGTTATTGAAAATGACGCTACGAATATATACGTCGCAGGAGGAAATTATATTGGTTGAACTTATTGTCTCACACGAGGACATGTGAGATGTCATGATAACTGTGTCGCTTTGCTGCCATGTATTATGTTTACCAAATTTACCGGTTAGCTTATTTAACAACTAAATGGGATATGCAGAAACGTCAAGTAACACTTATAACTTCGACTTCTTTGACTTCATTCTGAATGGATTCTGCCAATGTCGTGTGTCCGTGGCGTGATAGTCTAAATTATATTGTTATTTTATTTTGTGTTTTGACCAATGGCATTAAAAAATCACGGTATTTCAAAGAATGTATAAATTTAATAAGAAATGTTCTCACTTGTAACTTAAGTATGGAATTAGTGGCAAACAAAGATGTCAGACTTAAGATGACAGACGGTTAAAGACAATTTCTTATTTTTAAATCATGTTTGGGTTCAGGATTTCTGGTTGTGAGACACAGTCTCGTGTCTACCGGGCAATTTGGCTTTTAATTGTGTTTATAAAAGTCATGTTTCGAGTCTATATTAGTAACGGAACGGTCGGTCGCGTTATAGTTTACTGTCGCTGTAACTTACTGGGGTTTCGAAAGTAATCCGTTTGGAAACATTAAATCGTTGTGTATTTTGTCTTAATTTATTTTTAACAAAACGACATTTGTCTTTAGTATTCGTCACATAACTAAACAGTTTTTAAATTTATTGTTCTGAGTCAAAGAGTTGGGTTATTGAAAATGAAACCCACATTGAATAAGGAGCAATTAAGCACTCGATAGCCGAAAAACCATAATCACGCGCCATGAATTATACATAGGTTCAATTTGTATCGCGATATTCATGAATATTCATGCACACGGAAAAGCAACTTGAGATCATTAGTAGGTAATAACAATTTCGTTTATATTAACATCCTTGATATCTTGAAGGACTGACTCGTTGGTGTCGTGGTTACTGTACTCGACTTTACGGCATCTTGGGATTGAATCCCTAGAAAGGTGAAATAGTTCGGTACTCGTATTTGTAATGCAGAATTCGGTTTGGGATGATCATCACTAATGCAGATATTTACCTCTCTAACGAATAAATGTATTGTAATAATTATGCTAAAGATATCCATTGATTTTAAATAAAGTCTATAAACCACTTACTTTACTTGATTATAATCTAAACTTGCTAACTTAACAATGAAAATATTATATCTTAATTTAGTATTTACTACTCCCGTAGTACACATTTAAATGAAATAAAAGTTTTAATTTATTTTTAAATCTCACAATAGCATACTTTGAGTTTGACATTAGGAATACCCTCCATCTTAAATCTCCCCATGACCACAACTGCTGCAAAGCATCCGAAACGTCCGGTTATTTAGGTATTAGTTAAATAAATTAGCCTTTTAGTTATAACCTAGTACATAAAGATTTATTATTGTAAACCATTTCTGTGGTGTTTGTAATTAATAAAGTTAATAAATAATAAATAAGTTAACTAATATAGCTCGCGTTTGAACTCGTTGAAAGTGTATTTTTTTAAAGCTGATATCTCGGTCAGTAAGGCGACAAAAATGAGATGCGAAATTTTACTTCATAATTATTAAGTATTAAACATTATAGTTTTGTCAACCTTTGTCAAAGAGAAAGATGTCAACGCTAAATAAAAGTTTAAGCGTTTGACGCACAACACAAATCCCCTATTATTAAACTGAATAATTCGAAAGCTTCTGGAACACGCCCCTTTACAGAGAGCATTGTCAAATTATAAAATAAAATGGGACCTAACTTCGCTCTTTCAGGTAATATTGTTATATTATGT